ACAGAATGTTTCATCGCCAAAATATGTAGGTCACTCCTTTCTCAGAAGACCAAGCCTTTGCTGATCCTTGTGGATTGCAGACACAGTCGTTTGACTGAAGGAGTTCCATAAAAAGCATGTTGCTTAATACCAGAGTAGTCAGTTTGTCCGAGACGAACTACAGACAAGTGAAGTCCGAGTAGTGACAGGATAACAACTTATTAATACCATGATTCTAAATGACAGTTGCATATTACTCAGAGCGTGAAATCAGATGTTAATAATACGTAACGGCGTATTGATTGCAATCCTAACGATTATCTACCTCAAAGGATGATAAGCATTCTTGCCATTTTGTATTTCCTTGCTAGACCATGAATAGACTCCTTTATTGCTGGTTGTAAGCTGCCATCGTTCCTGTAATTGCCGATGCGTTTGCATCCGTGAAAAAGAATCTTCAACTACAAGAAGTGAAGGAAGAAGAAGAATATATTTGGACTGATCAAGGTAGTTTTTAGCGTTATTCGTATTGTAAGCCCTCTTCTACCGAGAGAGATTATTATCTTCTTCATATCTTAGTGAGTGAATGGAAAGTTGCTAATTTATATTTGTAAATTTGTCGCAGCGTTTCCTCACATATTAATGCGACCAACCTGCACGATGATGGGTAGTGAGATTTTTGTAAGTTCCTTAAGCGGTTTGACGCTGAATACACTGCAATTTATAATCCATTAATCTTTTTGACGATACTATCGGTGTTGTTTGATCTCATGTTTGGATATTTGATCAAATCTGATAATTTATTGGTGTTTTTAACAACGGTCTTTCTTGAAATTTAGTCGACATAATGGCCGTATGGGGTCCGAGTAAAGGTTCATATTTAAAATGTGCTTGTAATTCCTTAAGCCGTTGGTGAAGCTCGGTCTTTCGATACTGTTAACCGAGTTTTCTAGATTGTTGGATGTACGGACTTATAGAATTTAAAGATCAGTACCGACATGGATTATCCATAATTATTTGAGCACGTGGCACTGTGCAAACTTGATACAGTCAAAATGGTAAAAATCGAGCCACAGCATGCTATTCTTTAATCATCAGTCAATAGCAAGCTATAGCAAACTACGTAATGAGTACTGCGACGGGCGAAAACATTTCCAATTCCGTGATTGATATAGTTTGCTTTTGATGGATAGCACTGCTTGGTTGGTCCCTTTTTCCTTTCATACCTTAATATATCGTTTCTCTTGATTCAATAATACCGTATAGTCAAGGGTGCTTAAACCTTGCATTGAATTATTGTGTATATTTGTTAGAATTTGTCAAAATTTTCTGTGATGTGTTTTTTGTCTGTGTTATTCATGTGCAATTTAAGGATACGATGCCCGTGCTAAAACGTGAATGCACCGGCGATGCTAGCGACATCGCTATCATGAAGTTCGCTGAACTGGCAGTTGGCGACGTTGGTGATTGGAGGAAACGCTGCCCGAAGGCTTGTGAAATTCCGTTCAATTCCACGAACAAATTTGCCGTAAGTATTTCCGATGTTGAGGGAATACTGACCCTTATAATCAAAGCGAAGCGGTTCAGGTGACCATTCACGAAATGGATGACGAACAGGAAGGAAAGTACAACATGCTGTTGATGAAGGGTGCACCGGAGCGTATCATCGACCGATGTACCACGATCTTGATCGAAGGCGAGGAGACGATGCTGACGAAAGCACACCGCGACGCCTTCGACAAGGCGTACTTGGAACTCGGTTGCCTCGGGGAACGTGTCTTGGGTACTTTGCCACCGGTGCTCGTCAATAAGTTGCTTTCTGATATCCATTCTTTTTACGTATAGGCTTCTGTGACTACAAGTTACCCGTAGACAAGTTTCCAATCGGTTTCAAGTTCGATGCGACCGAGGGAAATTTCCCGCTCAGTGGCTTCCGCTTCGTCGGTCTAATGTCGATGATCGACCCTCCGCGGGCGGCAGTGCCGGATGCAGTGACGAAGTGTCGTTCTGCGGGCATTAAGGTGTGAATTCGTGCTCCAGAACACCTTGGCATAGTTGTTCTACAAGGAGAATGATGTTTCAGGTGATCATGGTGACCGGCGACCATCCGATTACGGCCAAAGCGGTCGCCAAGAGCGTTGGCATCATCAGCATGGAGAATGAGACGCCGGAAGACGTGGCAATTCGACTAGGCATTCCCGTCGAGGAAGTGGACGGAACGTAAACCTCGGCGACCACGAAAATAAGCCTGAAACTGACCCATGATTTGTCATTGCAGGAAGTGCAAGGCATGCGTGATCCACGGCGCCCAGCTGCGGGAGATGAGCAAAGATGAACTGGATTTCATCGTCGGTCACTACAAGGAGATCGTCTTCGCCCGTACATCGCCGCAGCAAAAGCTTACCATCGTCGAGAGCTGCCAACGCAACGGCGCCATCGTGGCCGTCACTGGTGATGGTGTCAACGACTCGCCCGCTCTTAAGCAGGCAGACATTGGTAATTTTCAGCGCCTGCCCATTCTTGGTGTTTGTCTGTTCTCGTGAGCTTGTCATCTACTAGCAGATTCGTCATATTTTCTGGATAACTTATTATTTGCCACAATAAAACATTCGTACGCTGCAGGCAGATCAGAGTTTGGTTTCATGTCGTTGTCACGGGTGGCAGACATGAACCGCGAAGAAGTAGATCAAGTGCATTCTAATCAGCCACTGCGATCCAGAATTGCTTTATTATTGAGAACCCTTTAATTAAACCAGGGTCACTTGAACATTTTTTCTTGTTAATTCCGACCGACTGGCAGATGCAGATCCCCCTTTACAGTACCTGCGAATCGCTGCCAAGGAATTAATCGGGTAAAATTTAAACCTAATTTTGCACCGACTCATTATCTCTTCACGGAATGTTTTTGATGAAGAAAGCCGTGCAGTTTGCTTTTCTTTTTCCCTCTGTGAATCTCAAATGTGCATTGTGTGCTTTTTGCACAACTGAGGTAAATCGTACCGGTTGGTATTACTATAAAGAATATAAGTACCAAAAATCCTGAGCGACAGACGCAACATTCAGACCAAACGCACCCTTTGCTATGATTATGTTTATACAAGTTTAGTGGATGCTGCAATAGACGATTGCAGTGTTTATAAATTTGAACGATGTTTGATATTTGCTCTCAGCTGCCCAGACTTTTATGATCCAATTGCATTGAATGGTGTACTTTTTTTCTTATAGTGTTTGCTCAAGCTACTCATCCAGTGTCTCAACTTTCTGTTCATCTCGCCCATTATCTAAAATTTCCCATTCAGAGATTTGGCGATGTGACCAAAAGATTTTTCTGTACTTTCTTTGTGATTAATCTAAACGGTTGTTTCTAGTACTTTTGTGTTAGTTTTTAGTTACGTGCTTTTCTCGACAGATTTTGCTATCAAGGCTTGGCGAAATCGCTCACTCCCTGTCATCCTCCTGACCGCAATCGCTGTCCCGTTAGTTTTAACCTTCAGGATTTATCGCAAGTCTTCATGGCTAAAGAAGATCGAAAACACCCTATGCCCAATTCTCCTCAGCTTGTGGTTCCTTATTTTAGTTATTGTCCCCTCGCTCTCAGCCTCCTGAACAGCTAAGTTTAATTTATGGAAATTGAATGTTAGAATTTGAGAACGCTTCAAATAACACTGCTGAATAAGTCTCAGTAAGGACGATATCTAATGATGAATTGTGATCACACAGTAGCTTATGCTGAGAAACAGCATTGAGCACGATGTGTTAATAGCTTATGCTTTTCCAAATGATGTCAAAGGGTTGTTACGAGAATCATAGTTTTAAACAAAAACATCAGAAAGTTTATGTATCTTATCAGGTTTAAAGCTACTGAAAGAAGAGGACAAGGTATTTTCGACGACTGTCCTCTTCCCATGCCTTTATTGAACACCGTTAAATATTCTAATGAACTGCCGTTACATCAGCCCTGAATCGTTTGCTACCGTTTCTCTTGTTGTCGATTTTTTTCATGCTTATGTGTACTTCCTATTTATCGTTTAATTGTCACAATTTCACTATAGGTAAACTTTATTGTCTGTGTATTATCTGCCTCACCCGGAGATTGCGCTGACATATTTGAACTCGCCATGAGTCGATTCAATTTCAGGTTAGACTGTTCGACGTTCTACATTTTACACACATCGTCTGGATCTGTAAATTACTATTTCTTTATTTTTCATAGGATATTTTTCTGGCGTGTTCTGGTGCGGTTTTTGACTTTTTCTTCATATCAGGTATCCTTACCTCAGAGAAAAGCTTTAAAACGAATCGATTTATTTCTAAGATAAAAGTACTGCTGGAACCTTTCACAGATTCAGAAATCTGGAATACTTACCGGATCTGAAATACTAACTTTTTAAAGTTAATTAATCTAAAGTTTTGATTACACTGATTGTCCATTCTTCTATTTTTAAGCATACAAATCACCACGTTCATTACTTCTACAACCAGTTACTGTTCGAATGCTCTTTCATTTTTCTGACTACGTAATTTGTTCTATTGTAGCATTTTCTAGGTGTTGCAATGGGCATTTCTGGAAGCGACGTCAGCAAGCAAGCGGCTGACATGATTTTGCTGGACGACAATTTTGCTTCGATTGTCACTGGAGTCGAAGAAGGTACATCTTGCCAATCGTACAAGACAGATTAATGATTTGCCCTTGATCATGGATCGTTTGTGTTTAAAGGTCGGCTGATCTTCGACAATCTCAAAAAATCCATAGCCTACACGCTGACTAGCAACATTCCAGAAATTAGTCCGTTTTTGATGTTCATTCTGCT